CAAGTAAGATGTGGATCAGGAGTCAAGGCTTTGAAAGGGCACATCGCCTCCAGGGAAGTCGTGCCTCTCTCTCTGCCGGACCCATCTGGAGCCAGTCTCCCCAAGACTATAAATAGAATCACACAGTCACGACGAGATGGGTGACACGGTGACGACTGGTGAACGAGTGTGTCCCAATTAGGTAATCATGTTACGGGATTCGCCCGCTGGGTGGCCCGAATCGAGCGATATGTATCCCGGCAGCCAATCAACGATATGAAACACGAGGATCCATTTCCCTATTATGATGCTTACAACTTCCTCGTACTTGTACCCTCGTAGTACCTGCAAAGGAACCCCCTTTCTCACTCACCCCTTCGTGCTCCCTCGGTCTCTGCATTTCTTGGTTTTTCGATTAGTCATTTGCCTATCATGTTCCTCCTTTATGCGTTCTGGTCGTTGGTGTTGGCTTATTTACTCTGGACATTGATACGATTCACAAACAACTACTTGGAAGCTAGGAAGATCGGATTGCCAATTCTGGTCTGCCCAGTCAATCCAGCAAGCCCGCTATGGCTGCTCACAAAGGAGCGACTCATACCGCTCATGACGTCTTTACCGTGGGGACTAGGGGAATGGGCCACCAGGGCTGAAGTCGGCTGGACATTCTACCAAAGATACTCGGTACACGCAAAGTACGGCGAGGCATTTACCATTGTCTCGCCCGGGACAAATGAGATCTATATTGCGGACCCCTCAGCCGTCGAGGATCTACTCCGACGGCGTAATGACTTCATCAAAGACCCGGCCATGTACGGAATGCTGAACTTTTATGGCCCCAACCTGGACACCGTCAATGGCAAGGTATGGGATCGCCACCGCAAAATCACCGTCCCACCATTCAACGAACATAACAGTGCTTTAGTTTGGCGGGAAAGTGCGGAACAAGCAGACCAGGTGCTGGAAATCTGGTCCGCGAAGAATCTTGTCACAAGCACGCAGCCAGACGTGCATGCCGTTGCCCTCAACGTGCTGTGCGGCGCCGGCTTTGGTTTACAAAGCAGCTTTATTGATTCGAAGCTGCCGGGAGGCGAGAATGAGGCGCAGACACAACTAGGATATCAAGAGAGCCTACGAACGCTGCTTTCAAATATCGTCCAGCTGGTTCTCTTGAACCTTCTCAAAAACGCCGGTGTTCCACGCTGGATGTTCTTCGGCAAAATGCAAAAGCTATACGTGGCGTACGAAGATTTCAAGAGATATATGGCTGAGATGCTGGCAAGAGAGAAAACGGCTTTTGAACAGGGCGATCTGACGAGGCATAACCTCATGAGTGCGTTGGTTCGAGCCTCTGAACAGTCGAATGAAACGGCACGAACCACAAAAGATCCTGCTGTCGCACCAGCAGGATTGTCCGATGACGAGGTATATGGGAACGTCTTCATCTACAACCTCGCGGGCCACGACACCACAGCTGCGACTCTCCATTTCGCAATCACGCTACTCGCCGTCTACCCCGAATGGCAGACGTGGATCGCCGAAGAGATTGACCAAGTCCGCAAAGCTGACCAGTCGGGTATGTGGTATTATGAGGAGACCTTCCCCAAGTTGGAGCGGTGCCTGGCGCTCATGGTAAGCATCGACTTTCCCCGAGATCAACGTACGAAAGTGGACACTGACACAAGAACTGTTTAAAAAGTACGAGACAATCCGATTATACGGACCCGTCGTCATGATGCCTCGCTACACGGGAGACTCTGCCCAACATCTCAGCATCCAAGGAAAAGAATTCATCTTGCCCGCCCGCACCTCGGTGACGCTCAACTTTGCCGCCCTCCACACCCATCCACGCTACTGGGGACCAGACCCCACGCGGTTCCGGCCTGACAGGTGGATCGTGCCCGATGAACGCGGGAAGGAAGAGGAGAAGGAAGAGGAGGAGACCAGGGCCGTTGGCGACTCCTCGCTCCGCCTGTTCCAACCTACTCCCGGATCATTCGTGCCCTGGGCCGCCGGACCAAGAGTCTGCCCAGGCAAGAAATTCTCCCAGGTCGAGTTCGTCCGCGTCATTTTCGGCCTGTTCGCCAACGGCTCGCGGGTCGAGCTGGTCCTCGAACCGGGCGAGAGCGAGCAAGCGGCAAAGCAGAGGATCATGCAGATCGTGAACGAGGCAAAGGTCGAAGTGACGCTGAAGATTGTCGATGCTGAGAGAGTTAAGCTCCGGTGGACCAAGAAGAGTAGTCCAGTCCAGTCCTGAGCCCTGCGCGCTCCGATTTCTCAGTGATGGATAGATGGATGGATGGATGGAAGAACGGGTAGGATCGTGGATTGATGTATGGGTCGGAGTCGCAAGCGCCCGAGACTAAAGGTATATTGCAGCACCCGACACTTGATTTGACGGGATTCGCACCTAAAAGTTCAGGAGAGGATGAAACGCGGTCTATCAAGGGACAATAAGAAGTTTAACGAAGGGTCTTCTCACATTCCCCCTAAATAACCTGTACAAAAAGACTGCGTGCCAGAGGGACGGATGAAAAGGAACAACGCCGCAGAAACGTCCAAACCAATATCAGGGTCGATCCAGACACGTCCACGAATCCAGCCTGCAGCTTTCAATTGAGAATGGCGCTCCAATCCTGCTTCTTGATCCAGTCCTCCACCGAAGGCAGTTTCACCTCTACACCGAGCTATCGTGAATGGTTAAGTCAGCATTTGGGTCCATTTTGTCAGGAACAATTGGGAGAGATGGTGTGAGAGCTTACAGCATGTGGGTGAACGACGGATGGGTCGTCGCGTCCTTCATACCCAAACTCGACAAAGTAGTTTGTGTTGTCCGACAACTCCAAGAGCAGGTCTTCGGGGAGAGACCCCCAGATGCCCGTGCCGGCAGCGACCTCGTCCATGGTCAGGATCTTGGTCCTCATCTTCACACCCAGCGTGCGCGAGAGGAGCGCGACGAACTCATCCATGGACATCCACTCGCGGTACGCGATGAGGTTTTTTCCAGCCTCAGGCAGCGAGATGAGGGCTTTGGTGAAAGGGCCCGTGTCTTCGTCGGCAGCGATCAGGGGCAATTTCCCATCCGTTGGCCCGGTATATGAGAAGGTGTAGACCCCGTCTGCGTCCTGTGGTGTGGAACATCGTCAGGCTTCTTATACTCAAATACTCATTCGGCCGTATGCGGAAGTAACCAAAACTCCTCCAAGAGAAGATTGAGGGACAAGGGAGTGCTTCATATGCTCACCTTTTGCGGCCGCATGAATGGATACGTCAAGACATTCGACAAATAAAACCCAACTTGGATGATACTCGTCTTCTGCCATAGGTCTGGGTACGTAGCCTGGCCGTACTCTGCCGCACGAGCCTTGCTGTCGAAGTGGTATACGTGCGTGTACTTTCCGCGCGACCACTTGGTCGCGTTGGACAGGCCCGAGAAGATCAACCGCTGGAGCCCTTGTGTCTGGGCGGCCGCGTCAAAGACATTCTTGCCCTGCTGCTCCTCCTTTTGCCCAACCCACACGTTCTTCGGTAGGCCCGTGGCCGTTGCCTTGGGCGTGGTGGCCGGGTCGTAGTAGGCGCCCCAGAAATCCGTCACGGAGAAGATGGCGGTCGCACCCCGAAATGCCTGCACCAGAGAGGCCGGGTCGTCCAGTGACGCCGACACCACCTCGTGTACGCCTTTGGCCCGGAGTTTCTCGGCCGCAGCGCTGTTGGCGTTGCGTGTCAGCGCCCGTACTTGCCAGCCGGACTCCTGGAGAAATGTGTCGACGACGGAGCCGCCCTGTGTGCCTGTGGCGCCGACCACGACGATGAGTTTGGACATGACGATGGCGTTGCAGTGCGGATTGAATCTGGCGAGAGGAAAAAAAACAAGAAGGGCGATGTTGTGTTTGCCGAATGGACGGGTGTTTATGTAGATATATAGACAGGCCGGGCCTCTGAGAGACTATACCAAGGTCAACTTATTGGTCTTTGTACACATATACACAGCACGTTTATCTGGCCCTTTTATACTCCCTGAAACGAGCGCATTGCTTTCCACCCTTGGTCCCAGTATTCGCCGCCATCGTTAGGAGGACCATACGTACAGATCAGTACGTTTCGTCAGGTGCCATTTCGACCGCCGCGCGCGGACGGACGAAATCTCCCCTGAGCTGACCGACGTCTACTTGTATGTCATTCATCGAGATCAAGGCCGGACTTGTATCTCCCCTCCCTAGGACACAGGGAGAGACGTCGGGTAAGGAAGGAGGGATGGATAGACACCGAAAATGGGCAGGGGCGTGAGGGGCGCTTGGCTCGGGCAGATATCTCTCCGATTGGAAGGTCGCAGACGAGATGCGGCCTGGTTGATGTTCCAGCTCCGGGGGAACGCGCGCGTTCGGATTGGTTCGAGAAGAGCCTCCTACTTGTGGTGAGTGAGGGAAATTTCGGTTTGCTTGCATTTCAGGCGCTTTGAAGAAGGATCGATCGATCTCTCTCTTCCTCTCTTCTCCTGCGTCCCGAGCCCAGAGGCGGTTGTGGCTTGGCATCTTGTGTATAGTGTACTGAGCGAGAGGAGGATTGAAGCAGAGAAAGAGCTTGGAGGGTCGGCCAAGGAGTAGATGGGCAACGCTACATAGGCTGGGATCCTAACGGCAGTGCCCCGTGGATAAATATGCGCTCGGTTGCATCATGCATGCATAAACTATCGTCAAAAGAGGCCCTCTGCGCCTGTGCACGCCACACACACATATATAGATAGAGAGGTATCAAACGGACGATGCCAACAACACCCACTTTATAAAATTCTTTCTGCCGCCAATCAATTCTCTCTGCCCAGTGCGACTTGAATGCATAAGTCTCTTAATGCCATGAAGTCATCGGGCGTCCTTCTTCCCAGGCCCGAATTTCACGTTGAACCACCCGAAATCAATGTGCGCAATGAAACATGTGGGCATGTATGCATCCGTACTTGGCCGATCTGCGGCTATGCCAGATCCACAGCAAGGAATCATGCTCTGGGACAGACGAACTTTGTTTTAAATGGCATGATCTCGATGACGGCCCGGCCAGTGATAGTCCATGTCGGTGGGGATGTTCTTGCGCAAATGTTTCATGTAGGTAGGCGGGACGCGGCCCAGCCTCTGCCATCGATCGCCCGGCGGTATGGAATGCTCTTCCTCATGGTGACTTAGAAGGTCCTCAATGGCACTCGCCCATTTGATCAGTTTGTCTTCCTGCCAGGCAGTGTGCTGCAGTGTCAGCGGCACTGGCATCCCGTCCGGGTCCAGACCGACCGGGATGGTCATGATAGGGTAGCCCGCCTGCGCGGCAATCTGGATGCCCCCGGCCTTGACGTCGCAAAAGAGGAGGGCGTCTAGGACTTCTTCTTCCTCTTCTCCATCATCGCAGGTAGATGGTCGACGCCGGCTGCTCGGCGGACATTTCAACGCAGCGTCGATCCCGTTCTCGCGGCATTGGGATTGAATATGCTTCAGGGCGGCGTAATACGTCTTGTCCTTGATACCTTGGGTCTCGACGCATTTGCGAAAGAGGATCTGGCCGTCGGGAAAAGCTGGTAGATCGGCTTCATGGCCGCCTTCGGTGCCCCGATTGTCGTCGTTGAACCGCACGACGTCCTCGAGAGTCTTGATGGGCGTGTTCTTCAGTTTGCTCAGGTAGCGGTTCATGAGGTAATAGGTCTGGACTTTGCTGACGGTGATTTCGGATATTTCGGGATTAGATTCTCCGTACCGTTCCCTGAGGGGTTGGAGTTAGCGGTATACCTCAAAGGGAGGAGAAAATCTTTGAAGGAGATCGATCAGGGGGTTGTATCTCACCAGTCCCAAATCCCGTGTTTGCCTAATCTCTCCTCTGCGCACGGCATGTCAACGGGGATGATCTCGGCGCCGGCTTGCTTTATAAGATGCAGGACTTTCTCCGCAACCAGTCTCTGAGGGTCCGGAGCAGCGTCCCAGAAACACTTGCTCGGGAGACCGAACCTGGCCCCCTTGAGCGCGTGCCTGTCGGTGAGGCACGCATAGTAACTCTTTGGCTGACGTCTTCCGGGTTGGGTACTGAACTTGTCGTCGGGGTCAGGACCCGCGATCACATCGAGCCCACGGGCAACGTCTGCGACGCATTTGCCGTAGTGGCCGACAGAGTCTTGGGTCTCTGAGATGGGAATGACTCCTCCACGCGATGTCAGGCCGACGGTCGGCTTGATCCCCGCGACGCCACTGACCATGCCTGGGCTGATGATGCTGCAGTCGGTTTCCGTGCCGAACGCGAGGGGGACAATGTTTGCCGAGACGCTGACCGCACTGCCTGAGCTGCTGCCGTCTGTTCATCTACATCAGCGCTTGTGCTGGGAATGGACTGAGAGAGAGGCAGAACAGATGCTTACTTGGGGAGCGAGTCAGCATGTACGGATTCCGACACTGGCCACCACGCGCAGAGTATCCCATTGAATAGACGCTGCCTCTCATTCCTGCCCACTCATCAAGATTGGCCTTGCCGAGGATGACCGCGCCAGCCTGGCGGAGAAGATGGACAATATGTGCATCCTTGGGGACAATACAACCGAGCAAGGCCCAGGAGCCTGCTGTCGTTTGCATCTTGTCTGCAGTAGCCATGTTCTTAATCACACAGATGCGGTGTTAGCCGTGCATCAAGGAAGGGGGGGGGGGGCATTAGTGACTACCTACATCCTTAACCAGCACGGGGATGCCGTGAAGCGGACCCCTGACGACGCCTTTCTTCCGTTCGTCATCCAGCGCCCCTGCATGTTCGATAGCATCGGGATTGGTTTCGATGACACATTCGAGATACGGATTGGTCTGGGTGTGCCAGTCAGCGTGATCCAGAGACTTGCACACAACTTGTGAGGCATCACCTTTTGCACCCTCTCCAAGCAGAATTTCACATATTCGACCGAGGACAGCGCTCCAGTGGAATAGAGATGTTGAAGCTCATCCACCGAGACCTCGTACAAGTCCAGGCCATTGTAGAGCGGCAGTCGGAATACCTCGGGCAGTTCGTCCTGTGATGACCCAGTAGGTTTGGAGAGTACAACAAAGCCATCACTGTCAAAGCCCGAGCCAGTTTCCTCGCGAACTCGAAAATGTGCCATGACTTGTCGTCCGGAGTTGAGCGACCGTCCAGTGGGTGAGGCTGAGATAAGACGGGAGTTGAAGTCGATGGAGTTGATCTCTGACGACGCGTTAAACCGTGATTTAGGATCCGCCCTGCATGATGTGTCCTGAAGAAAGACACCGTCTGGTATGGAAAGTAGTGAGAAAAGGTGAGGCATCATTTGAATGCGACGTCGAATGGTGGACTTGAGCGACTCGAACGGGTGACACGAGGAAATATTTTGGTCTGACAAGACAGCTGTTGGCAGACATGCCGCAATTGGTTGCAATACCGCGGCTATGGGTGGCTGTGACAACGAAGACCCACATATACCTTTTCGTCAGACTGAAATACTTCCTCTTCTGGCCTCGGGAACTAAATCATGTTGAAGATTACCGGTAGATCAGTGCCATACTCGGTCCGGCGAGGTTTGAGGAGCTAGACGCTTTATAGACTCCGAATCGACTCCGAATCGATATGTCGGTCAGACAATGCTTTTCTCAGGTTGCCTCAAAATATGGGTATCTCAACCATGATCCTCAAAAGAAAGACACATAGCCCAATGTCACCAGAAAATGCGCTCAAGTCGTTGCTCGTATGCCAGAAACAGAAAACGCTCACAAGACCCAAACTGTAGTGCGCACATAAGTGTGCGGCACAAACCACATAGAAATGATTGGCCAGGATATTCGTGGGTAGTCACAGCCCGGCCTCCAGCGTCTCCGCCAACAGCGCCGCTTCTTCCCAACTCTGCCGCATGCCCTCGGCGTAGATGCGGTCGAGATAGAAAAACTTCAACAGAACTTGGCGAACATCCTCCCAGCTCTGCAAACGGAGCACTCTAGAGACCCGCGCGAGATTCAGGACAAACCACGGCCTCTCTCGCTGTCCCGCGGATATGTACGCCCCGAGCAGGAGAACCCAGACGAAGAGTTCATAGTGCGGACCCCAGAGACCCTTCAAGTCGGAAGCTTGCAGGGCCGCCTTGAGTTGCGCGGTCAGTGCCCGGTTGAGGGCGAACTCCGGGCGCGAGATCTGGAAGTTGCTGAACCAGAAAATCAGCATCGCCAGACGACAGGCCTCTTCCTTGTCGCTGGCCGGCTCTCGCGGCTCGAACGGCGCGGACAAGGCTGCGTACCGGAAATGGTAGCTCTTGGCGTTGATGTATTCGTTCTCCTCTGGCACGGGGACCAGCTGCTTCTCGTGGTAGTATTCACGGTATTGGACGACGTCCTTCATGTCCCGAAACGCTTGTGATATTCTCCAGTCCATGATGGCATCGATTTCCGGGGTCAAGAGCCCCATGCCCATTTTTTTGACATCCTCGCTCACGTTTTGCCGGATTTCTTCGACCAAGCTCGCAGGGAGGGCAGACAGTGTCGACGTCGGAGGAGCCGCAGGCAACGATCGTGTTAGGGCAGCGCACATGTACGAGGTCCTGTCACGACAATTAGATCCCGATTGATTCTGCAATTTTGGAGGAGAAGATCAAAAATAATCTCACGACAGAATGAGCTCGGTAGCATGAGGAGGTATCCCATGATACCCGCCTCGCCAGGCGATCAGCTTTTGCAGTCCAGAAACATGCGCAAAGATTTCTTTTGAGTTTCCCGTAATAACCTGCTCGAGAAAAGCCCGTCAGTAAGTCGTTGTTGCGGTGAGTGAGGCTGCCTGGTAACAAAAGTCCCCCATACCTCGATCGAAAGCAAACACATCATGGCAAAAATTGTCGATGCCTGCGTGGCCTTTTCCATCGATTTCATGGTTTCATTTGCAATCCTCACGGCGTTCACTTTGTACGAGACAAAATCCGGCACGCTGCGATTTTCGAGGTCTGCTTCGGTGAATGTTGTCTCAATCGAACCACTTCGTAGCTGGCCCAAGCGCGAACTGCGCTCGGCCGACGCAATTGCCAGAAGCGAGTACAGCACCAGTGGCTCTTGTGCGGCATTTTGGAAAGCCCATCGACTTTGGATTTCGGCTTGGTGTCGCGTGGGAAATACACTGGGTATCATAACTTCGGAAACTGTTGCGAACAAGTCAACGTCTGCCAAAATTTGTGACCGTTGGCTGCGGTGCAGGAGGAAAGATGGATCTCTCGAGGGCCAAATTCTTTAGAATCGCGATCTTTGAGATGTGGAAAAAGAAAAAGAGCCGGCTCAACGGTTCCACAGCTTGCTACGAGCATGGAAAGCAGCACGGGAGCTGCTGGTACGCTTCGAAAGGAAAATTTCCACAGGTAAAAGAGAGATAAGGCCATCTAAAAAATTCGCTGGTCCATCTGACAAGCCCGGCGCAGGCAAATGCATCAGCCAACAGAGTACTGAGAGAATAGACGACTTACAATGGCGTAAAACAGCATTCATGCTTGGTGTAATATGTACAGAGCTGAGATTGAAAGGGTCAAGGAGAGTGTTATTCAGCGAGGAAGTGATAGAGGGTTGAATCAAGCGGCCCGCATGACCACCATCCAGCCGTTGTAGAATCTGTGTAAGCATAGACCTCACCGACGTGGCCTCGACCTGAGAAGCCTCCCGCCGAGCGATTTCTGTCGATACATTCGGTGACTGTTGCTGAGCGGTGATGGCCTCACGAACTTCCGCTGCACGGACGCTGCTGTAGTGCCGTAACCGGTCCAAGTGCGCATGGTCAATTTCTGGAAGGGAATCCGCTCGTGCTGAGGCCGGTGGAACGCGACCAACAACCTCCGTTGGGGGACTGAGTGATGATCGTGGTGCCGAAGAGTTTTCACGACTGATCGATCGTCGTGATTGCAGAGGGTTCTGTCGCTCAAGCGTCACAGGAGAGGTGGGTTGAGGCTCGATAGGACGCGGTTGCAACTGTGGCTCACGTCGATACCGTCCTATATTCGCCGCTCCTGTCGTCGTCTGCTTCTGTGCGGCCTTCTTGCGGTTTCTATGCGCAGTCTGTTGAATGTGCGCATTGATTGCTCGCTGGTCAGAACGTGGTCGCTGCCCACTCGCGGACGAGTCGACAAACAGAAAACGGCTGCTTTGCTCGGAAGCCGTCGAGGCTCTGGCACCCTCCTGGTCGATTCTTCGATACTTGTTCGACGACTCGGCTCTTCCGTCTTCATCGTCTCGGTCTGGTGATCTGGCCCCGGTGCCAGAGTAATGTAGAGCGCCGCGAGCATCATGCTTTGGCTCATTGCGCTCATCCATCCTCAAAGAGGTAAACGCAGGCGCAGCTTGAAGAGTTAATGCAAAGATCAATCATTGAGCTTGACGGTAGAGGGAGACTCCGCCCAGCAAAGGCTCCATTCCTTCGCCTACGAGTCCATCTGCTACTGTGGCCGGACTTTGAGAGAGAAGTCTTGTAGAGAGTCCGGCCCAGCTTGGAACCCGCATGGTTGACTTCCAATGGTTGAACAGAGGGATGAAGTCGACACGCCACCGCTAGGCCGGAATGGGTTTGTGCTCGTTACCAACCAACGCGTGACAATTTCGCTGGGTTGGACAAAGCGAATCAAGGCTCAGCTGCGCAGCCTTTTTCCCCTTTTGAGTTTCTCGCTCGGACTGCCCAAAAATGCTGTTGCCCCGAAGCATTGCTAGTGGGTTTCGTGATGCTGATTTTATTGGTCGGGACCCATATCTATTTGCACTATTGGTAAGCACCAAAGACCACTTGCAGCTCTAGCGTGGATTGAAGCAGACTAGTCCGTAAGAGGTGTACACTCGAGACAGCTTGTGATTGGGCAGAACTTCGATCTGTTTCGGGTCAATGGTTCTCATCCAATCATCACCCCGACGGACACGAAGACGCTCACTGCCATGGGCTCATGCAGAGTCCTCGGACCCCTGAGAAATTCCGAGTCACCCTACCCATCTCGACCTACAGGGACGAATGAGCAGAGCCCGGTAAGATGACGAGGACGAGGCCATCGCAATTTGTGAACCTCTTCGGAGACACGATCTCGTTTCGTGCATCTCGTGCTCCATGTCAGTGATTACAAGAAGGTTAACTGCGCCCTGCGCGTCTTCCAAAGTCCGCAGCAATCTTCTGCACTGCTGGGACCGCCTTTTTGTTGCACGCAAAGATACATGACCCGGGCCAAAGATGAGTATCGTGCTCGCTCAGACTTCTGCGACGCAATATGTCCCCAAATATCTCTTTGTTTCGGCCGACTGCCATCGAGGGACGGGCAAAAGTCGCCATGTCATGAAAGAATGTAAGAGTCTGCAAGTTTGACGCCCGATAAAAATCCTCCTTTGCTGAGACGTCGCTCCTCGATCAGTTCTCCGCAAGCGCAAATCAATCCGCCGCCAGGAGCAATTGGCCGCACGATCGCAAAGCCGTGTGCTTCCCTGGCTACGTCGAGAAGATATGGAACAAATGGGGCCTCGAATAGATTCCTCTCCCGCGGTCATAAATGGCGGAGGATCCTCCGAGGCTCCAAGTGACTCCAGTTCGAGACCTACTTCTCCTCAACAAACTCAAAGGACAGTTGTTAGCACAACAGGCCAGTTGCACTCGCCATCATGTCTCGCTTCGCCGCGCTCTCTTCCCGACCCAACAGAGCCCCCGGAGAACTGCATGAACGCTCCTGACAACTCGCATGAGCTGCTTGACTACTGTGAGTTAGAATCTTCCACCCAGTCTTGGCGATCAAAGACAACTGATGCCGGTTGGCAGTGAACCGTTCCGTTATATGTCGACTGTACGAGACCGACCAGTCGAGCAACGTCAATTCTCCAGCGACCGCCATGGTGAGCCATATCATACCTCGCGCAGTGCCGGCGCGAATACTCCTCGCAATTTCCAGTCTTCATCATGATATCGACGCAGGGCACCAAACACCCAGCTCAACAACCCTCAGCTTGATGCTCGAAGGCATCGGCTCCCTAAAAGAGCAACTAAAAAGTCCTCTGGCGGTGTCCGACGACACCATCCTGGCCGTAATCAACCTATGGGTATACGAAGTTACGTTATCGATAGGATCCTCTAAGAGTGGGTCGAGCTCCGGGGCCAACCAAGGGAGAATACTCCCCAAGTCATTGACCGACAATATCCAGACACATTTGAATGGGCTTCAACGATTCATCGAGTGCCGCGGCGGGTTGCGCAACCTTTTACCAGAGACCCTGTGGCTTCTTGCTTGGTGGGTCAACTTCAATTGTCTCGAGAAGCCCACTGCTGACTGCTTAGGTGTGTTTGTACCCTCCCAGGATATTCCCCTATCGACACCAGGATGATGGCGCCCGACGCTGGCAGAGACGGAGCCCCGCGAGCAGGGGCCAGCACCTCCTACCGCCCGTCCCGACTGTTTGAGACACTGTCCAAGGTTCAAAAGCACGCATCATTGCGTCGTTTTCAGCCAAACGTCCTCCACGAACAACCATTTGCACCCCTGAGAACCGTACTGTTGCGATTGAACGTGATGAGGCTTGCTCTCCACGGCCAAAAGACGCCGATGAACAGACTCCGCAAGACGACATCGCTGATATCAACGTTACTCTTCATCTTCGACGTCTTCCAGGAGGCGACCGACTCCGCTCACGGAGGAAACCCCATCCACAAAGACCAATTGCTTGCCGTCCAGCAGCGATTCGTGGATCACCAAATCGACAAAGAAGGCTCCCTCGAAAAAGCCTGGCACGTCCTCATGACGCAGCAAGAGACTCCGCAGCTGCAACTTCATCCGAGGACTTGGTCGATTGTGGAGATGGTCAATGCGATCAAGCACGTGCATATTTCCACAATCGATGCCCTTTCGCAACTCTTGCTTGGGTATCTACTTCCCGAGACTTGCGACCTCCCGGTCGAAGATTTCAGATGCGAAAAGGTTCTGCTGCAAGTTTACTTTGAACTAGATGGTCTGCCTGATCTCACCTGAACACTTGTCCTGGTTGTGCATACCATGTATTGATACGATAGATTTAGACATGGTCGGGAGATGGCAAGATGCCATAATGGCGACATAATACTCATTACGCTGCAGAATGATTTCTCAGGGAAGATCCAGCCCGAGAATGACGATTAAGGACAGGAGTCGAATCAAGAAGTTGCGGTCCAATACTAGAAAGATTCACCGTACTTGGTTTAGTTTGCAGGGACAAGCAAGAAGCCCGAAGCGCAATTCCTTGGCACGATTTTATCTTGGCATTTAACCTTCTTCCCGAGTCAATGGATGCATCCCAGAGAACGGCAAGGCACTTCTGGAACGGGAAATTTTTCACGTCCTCACGGCTCTTCCGCCTAAATTACACACCCTCGACGGCCAAAGTCCCGCCGGAGTGAGGCCATGGCAGGGTCCATTTGAGCGGGAACCGTTTCCCCCAACGAGTCCGTAACTGCATTTTCCTCTTGTCGTCCACGAAGCACCCACAATGTCGAGCTCGTTGACACAACTGCCGAAACACCACGCTGAAGGGGGGTGTGTTTTGAAGACAAACTCTCTTGGTTTGGACGGGTCGTGAAACTTGGCTGTGGGAGGAAGAATACCACAAGCACTTTCCGGCTAGGTTGGCCCCGTTCGGGCAGCCAACGACTGGAACTGTGACCGGAAACGAGACAGATACCACTATTGTGATTGGCAGCATGCTTGTCCAGATCCGAGGCTGTCTCAATCCTTCACTCAGGTATTCCGTGGGCCACACCAGTGGCCGACGCCTGATCTCCAGCTAGGACCGCCACCGAGCTCCAGCCGACCTCCAACTGTCGGTATTCCCCACGAATTGACCCCAAATTCTCCACAGCGACAGTATGCCAAGTATGATCGTCTCGCCGGATATGGTCATCACGAATTGAACGCCGTCTCCTGGAATACTGGAACGACGCTAATCATGCTGGTTTATATGTGGAACGGTGGAATACCGCGTCGTGGGATCACGGCAGTTGACGAGCTCCATCTGCCGCCCATCAATTCGCTGTCGACATATCTATGTTACATTTCCCTCCGCGACGGGCAACTGGTGTATCAACACGAGGCAGTTCTGCTGTGGCCGTCCCAAGGAAAGGCATTGTCGTTGCTGCTCAACCTGAACAGTCTCTTGAAACAGCATGGCTGCAGAGGTGGTTCGTGCTCCGGCGGACACGGAGAAACAACTCCAAGAGACGGTTGTTCATCTCGAGGATGCTTTGGCTACTCTCAACATCGATCCCAAGGAAGCCGACGAGGCGTTCGAGTTTCTTCGAGACCATCCGAATGCCGACGGTGTTACCCAGGAAGCCTTGAGTATTCTGGCCGATGAAACGAAACGGAAGAAGCTCTTACGAAAGATTGACTGGGCCATTCTCCCGTGCATGATTGCCACTTACTTTCTTCAATTCCTGGATAAGACGACCATCGGATATACTGCAGTCATGGGACTTCGGGAAGATACCCATCTCGTGGGGCAACAGTATTCCGACGTTGCCATGATTTTCGTAAGTTAACCCTGTGAGCTGCAACTGGGCCGGCGCTTCGTGACCTTGCCCACACCGTCGAAGACATTCGTATTTAATCAATGCTGTGGTCTGGTACTAAGACAATGGACAGTACGTCGGATACCTTGCTGCCGAATTTCCCACGCAATATATTTCGCAACGGGTTTCAAGACTGGGTAAATATCTCGGGGCAAACATCGTACTTTGGGGCGCTGTGCTGGCAGCTCACGCGGCTTGCCAAAACTATGCTGGACTGATGATCTGCCGTGCTCTTTTGGGAGTTTTCGAATCTGTTGTGACACCCACCCTCGTGCTTGTGGTTGCCATGTGGTACAAGAAATCCGAGCAAGGACGAAGGATCTCGTATGTATACGTTTGTAACAGGTGCGGATTAATTACCCTCCCCTTGGTTAGTGCTCTCTCGGCTGATCGGTCACAAGCTTGACATCCATCTTTGCTGGGTTGGTCTCTTGGGGCGTGTCTCACTCGAAGAACAAGAGCTTTGCAAGTTGGCGCATCTTCCTTCTGACGATTGGTCTTGTGACCGTCGTAGTCGGTGTCATTGTCTTCTTCTATCTGCCAGACTCTCCAGTCAAGGCTCGACGATTTTCTGATGCGGAGAAGGTGGCGACACTCTTGCGAGTCAAGGACAACCAATCGGGCACGCAGAACGCCAAGATCAAATCGTCTCAATTGCGTTTGGTGTTCAAGGACCCTGGTGTGTGGCTTGTGGCCGTGAGCGTTCTGATGCTCAGTGTTCCGACTGCGATCCCGAACTTTTCCAGCATCTTGTTGACCACGTTCGGGTACAGCGCTCAGCAAGCGGTGAGTGACCTTGGGACTGTCAAGCTTGGCTCGGGCCTTGCAATCAAGTGCTTTCCGCTGACTGCAAACAGCTTATACTGAACATTCCTGGCGGGGTGGTCGGAGCCGTGTCAACCATTCTCACCGGATACCTCAGCGATCGTTGGAACGATCGGAGTCTTGTGATGATCATCAGCATTGTACCAACCATTGCCGCATTTGCCATGATGATTGGTCTTGACCCGGGCGGTGTACCGAAGAGCAAAGGGGCATTGCTCTTTGCCCTTTATTTGTGCAACTCATTCACAGCGGTAAGCGGTTTTGTTCTGCTGGTGTTGTCCTGTGGCTAAGAAGTACACCAGGCTTTCATGTTGCTTCTTGTCTGGAATGCATCGAATCTGGGAGGGCATACGAAGAAAGTCACCGTCAATGCCTTGACACTCGTCCTGTACTGTGCTGGAAACATCGCCGGCACCGAATCATTCCGTGCTTCTGAGGCCCCTGGATATATCAGCGGAAAGGCAGCCATCATGGCGTAAGTGGCCCAGAACCAGTAATAGTATTGCTGGATCCCGATGCTGTACTTGTTGTTGTAGCTCGATGCTAATGACCGCTCAGCACCTTGTCGTTCCAAGTCCTGGTCTGCCTAGCTCTGCGTTTCCGAAATGACCGGCTCAACAAGAAGAATCGGGAGAAGCTTGCCCTGATGAGCGAGGACGAGAAGGAGACTCTGCGGCAACAATTGGCGTATGCCGACAAGACAGACCGAGAGAATCCGTTTTTTGTCTATACACATTAGCGCTGGAGCTGTCGGAAAGGGACGACGCGGGCAGGGATGGACCGCGATGCTGGCCTGTTTGTTTACCTTTCAGGCTGCGAGGGCAAGCATCTTGTATGCCACCTGTCGGAATGCCGAGTTCAAGGATTTCGGGGGTGTTTGAGCTCGTCTAGCCGGCATTGTTCTCTCTGTCTCGGCAAGCCATGTGCTGCTGGATCCAGGATGAAGCCACGGTCCCTTTTGAACGTGAAACTCTTGGGAGATATTCCTGCTCGTTAGTACCAAGTCCTGATGAGGTGTCCTCGTTTGACACTGCAACATGGAACGTCATGGCAACGCCCACCCACAGTCGACAGGGCACCGTGTCCAATCCACTCTGTATCCACCATCCACTCTGAGTGTGTACCTGTGACGGTGACTCTGCGACCGCGAGTGATATCCATTTATGAACATCTGGGCATGGATAAGGATATGGATATAACAAGTCCTCTGTACATCATTGTCTATCGTCTCGCTAGTTAGCTACCAACGTCAAGAAAGGAAGTGTGGAGAGGCTCCGCTCACTGCCTCCCCTTCGGTCTTTCGCCCTCGTGCGATCTCCGTGATGACTGAGCCACCATCTGATCTTGTTGCCTACTCGGTACACATCGAGACATGTAGACGGCCCCAAACAAGTCATGATACATAAATCAAAGGGCGTGCGTACAAGGACCATCTCTCTCGGCCGGGCGACTCCGTTCAGGGAGGGTTGGGTTGTCTGCGTACCGCGTACCTCGTACCTGCGTACATGCCTGCCTACACATCCTTCTTCCTACGTGCAGCCCCAATACGGCAAAGACCAGGCAGCCAGGTCAGACGAGAGTCCAGTCCCCACTGGTCGATTGGTCGGTAGGTTGGTTGGTGTTAGTTGGCTAGTTGGTGAGTCATTCGGGTCGGGCGATACAACGACGCCGGGATGACCCCCTTTTTCCCCCCTCCCCCTTTCTCCGCCCTGTAGCACTGCACTCGTAAGCTGGAAATGCAATGTCAAAAAAGGAAGATGAATGGGTGGAGATATACTCGTAGTTACCTACATAGTTACTCGCTTACCCGCAGTCACCTCGTGGATACAAGTAGATGAATGAGTAGGACGGAGATAAGGAGATGGAGATTACGAAAGGGGGGTTTCAGTATATCGAGTAATTATACCTAGGTGCTAGTGCTAGGTAAGCACGAGGTCAAGTATGGTAGGTACGAGGATGTATATATGACGTATGTGCATACATAAAATTATGTAACCTAGGTAAAGTCGGTAGGTAGGTGTGTAGGTAACCATTCACATTCTGTACGAGTACCAAGAACCACGTGTCAGACACCCGGTGTCTGCACGTGTCTGTACATGTGGTTGTGTGTATTGCCTTATTCTCCTAAAGAATGACGATGAACCAAAGACAGATTCACAGAAAATATTAGATCGGGACTAACTGAGACCGACCCTAGAAACCCCGGACATATCGGAGCGAGTGAGAACGCGAGCCGCTACCACCATTTACCTCCACTGCTACCGACTGAACCGGGTACAAGGGGAAAACCCAAAAGTATATACTGCAAGTATAAGCGTCCAGCATGTGTTGCAAGGCGAGTGCTGTACCAAGTATACGACAAAAGTAAACTCGGCGAGTCTCGTCCGGGAACTCCAGGGGGCCTCTCCGCGGGTCTAGTTTTACGTTGAGCATCTACGAGAAACGACACCAACGTGAGGTTAACGTACCTCACTGGTGAGCAGAATGGCCGAGTGACTCTATTTTATACATACTCCCATGTCATATCGTATGCATCAATACAAAATTCACGTCCAGACGGAGGACCAGGACATACCCAATCTATACCCACACCAGCTGTGGAAC